TTCGGCATCTTCATGACGCTCTGGGCGATCATGAGGCATAACAACATGATCGATGCCGAGGAGTGCGTCGCCGAGGCGAAGGCGAGGGGCGAGCATCCCGGCTGGGGCGGCCGCATGTTTGGCCAGCGCCGTGACATTCCAGCCACCATCCCCGAGGATCGTGACCACGACGGCGACATCACGATGCGCCCCTCGGATGGACACAGCAGTGCGCAGGCGTCGAGTTCAGCGGCATCGGCTTCAGGCGTCTCTTTCGGACACCGCCCGTCGCAGCTGCCGATATCAGCACCGCCGCCGCCACTGCTGCCGCCAGAACCACCGCCTGCCAGCGCACCACCAACCGCAACATCAGCACGATCGAGGCCAGCGAGATCTCAGAGTTCGGGTTCAGCCCCTACCTCACCGAGCAGAGTCACTGTATCGAGTTCATCGAGTTGAGCATCTGCGAGTGTGGTTTCGTGGAACGGTTCCTCACCGACGGTATCGTCGAACGAGATGATCAACTGTGCGACCGCCGCCCCCCGCTATGATTTCCGAATCGGACATGACCCGCATAGCGTCTACATTACCTGCGAGACCTGCAAGAAGCACTCGCCATGGCTTCTCCGGTTCCACAGGAACAGCAATCCCGATTTCACGAACTTTTCCGAAGGCGCGATGAATGATCTCATGGGCCATTGGAGGAGGCTCACCGGCAGAGACTGCTGGCGCGGACCTGAACTGATGGGCAAACCGACGAATCCCAAGAAGGAAAAATTAATCCCGCTTGGTTTCCGGACCTGCTGCTGTTGCTAGACGGTCGCCTTTTGCGACCCCGCTTACGTAAGTCCGCATTGCTGCTCAGTTTTCACACCGGGCCACAGATTTTTACGTAAGTCCGCATTGCTGCTCAGTTTTCACACCCGGCCAAAAAATGGCACGTAAATTCGCATTTAGAGAAGCTTCATTCAGTGTGCACACGTTTTGATTCAAATATGTGATGACGATCGCACCCATTTAGATCTTATCTCGATCAGATAATTGTTTGGGGGGGGTTGTGTCGCTTCGCGATCGAACTCCTGCTGTTGCTTGCCCTGCCTGGCTTTGATTATAGCGCCGGCGGCGCTGAGAGCTGAGAATATCTTGCAGGTCGCGCGCGTAGTGCATCCGCTTAAGTGCCCGAAGGGCTGCCTGCAATGCAAGCCGTGTCGAGCCGTTTGCTCGCCTTCTGCCAGCACGCCTGGCATTCTGCTTAATGAAAATAGCGCCAGACTTATATGCCCGGTTGCTCTTGCTCTGGCGCCTCGCGCGCCCGCCCGGCGCCGCTTGAGAACCGTGCAGGAGGAGCGTGATTCCAGAAGACTCGCCCGCTTCCGCCTCGCTTCCGCTCTCTCCCATGCCCGCTCTGCCCGCAACCGCTTTTTCTCGAACAGGGCCCTTGGCCTTAGAGTTACGCCAGTTGTTCGAGCCGCGCTCACAGCAAAAGCATCCCCAGCGCTGCGCGCCGATCCATATCACACTGACGAGGCTGAGTCGTTCCAGAGCGCGGCAGGACGGTCTGGGGCGGACGCGGTGCCGAATACATTCTCCAGACCCGCCGGCTCTCAGAGATTATTGGGGGTCCTGGGAGAGCCCTCCCAGAGCCCTAGCTTTGGTCGTGTTGCCAGCGGTTGTGCCTGGTCGAACTTCAGGGAGCTCCATGAGCTTACTCGTTCATTCCTCGCCCCCCTTCCTTCAATTTCCTCCTCCTCCTCCCTCCTCTGCCTCCCCCTCCTGTCCTTCCTCCCCCATGTGTCCCCATCCCCCATCCTCTCCCCTCCTCCTCTTCCTCCTTTTATGTTTTTTCTTTTTAACGTCAGCCCGAAATAAGGGTCTAGCTTGTAGTGTTCTTGAGCGAATGTGAGAAACAAACGTCACGAACAGCGTGCACGAAACGGCGCGCGATATACCTGGGGGGCGCCGCGGAAAATGAAGGACAATCAGGCCGAAACGAGAAAAGTAAAAGGGTAAAAGGAGTGGGCGCCCGCTAGGTACTAGAGGTCGGCACGAACCCGAGTAAGATAAGCTCCCCCAGCCCCAGATCCATGAACTAGCTGAGCCTCATACTTTTCAGTTGTAGTGCGTCGGCAAGGTGCAGTGAACGAAAACATGCAGCAATAGCGATGCAGTGGCCAGAAGCGAGAGTGGATGTAGCAGTCCTAGGGCTGCTACCCCCATACAGATCACCGCCACCACCAATCCCGACAGTCCCCAAAGTCAGAATGGGCAAGCGGTGCAATGGCTGGCCCCGCGGGCTGGCCTGGCACGTGGCACAGCCTGTGATACAGGCTTGCACGTGCTTGGGCAGCCGAGGCTGTGTGTTTTTTTTTGTTTGTGTGCGGTGTGAAAAGCACGTCATGCTGCTAGCCGTATGGCGAGCACTTGAATCGGCAAAGTACGTTGCTGTAAGTAGCAAGCGTGCTGAAGTTCTTCTCTCGTGGGCAGATTGCCCACGTGCTTTCTCAGCTGTGAAGAGAGCCAGCACATGTGCAGTGTTCGGGCTGCTACCCTTGGTCAGGGAGGCCCTCCCCCCCCCCAGCTCGCCTACCCCTTGCCGACCGTCCCCAAGGTCAGAGTGAGGCAGGCGCTACGCAGTGTCTGGCCCTGAGGGCTGCCTGGCACAGCCTGCGATACAGGCTTGCACGGGTGCGTAGACAGCTGAGGCTGCCAGGCATTTAAGATGCAATGCAAAAAACAAGTTTGGCATTGCGATCCTCAAGATGAGGCTCGCACAGTGTTGGCTGGCCTGTCCGTGATGCTGACAGCACGCTGAGCATTGGGTCAGGCAAGGTATGCAGCTGTAGGTACTTAGCAGTCGTGCTGCCCGCGTGGGCATATTGCTCACGTGTCCTAACTGTCGTGGGAAATGGAGCTGGCCAGTGTACAATTCTTACGGGAGAGATGTGAGGGAGTAGAGGCTGTGAGCAACCGAAGGAGAAGATAACCGATACCTATGCATCCATGGGATGCACTGGGTATCGGCTGTCCTCGGCAGCGGGTAGGGTACGGCCCTTAGGGGGGAAGGGGTCCAAGCTAAATCGCTTGGTAAGGCCAGATGACCTGTTGAAACAAGGAGTAAGGAAGGTGGAGGAAGTGGAAAGACGATCACGACAGCAAGGGTGGTGTGTGGCGGACGCATGCCAAGAGAGGCCTGTTGCATCCAGTGGTACTAGAGGATGTTGCGGCAAGTGAACATGTAAAACAAGTGGGGCCGCTTCCTGTAAGTCAGGGGATCCCACAGGCCTGGAGGCTTGGGCGGCTACGGAGCCCCGACCTTCTCCACATCTGGAACACCCCCCTCCGAGAGAGCAAACACAACTGACGACTGCAACTGACCTGACAGCCCCACCTGCTCACTACTTTGGGGCCCATGTCAAGAAACACCCTGCTCGCCTACAGGATGCCCTGGGTTTCTTGGGTGTCGATTGATTTGCCATGGAAATCGTGACGCTTCAATGTACAAACATCAAAGGACGTCCTGAGGTCTCAAGGTTGGGTTTGGTGTGGAAGGTTTCTTGTGGTCGAGCCCCAACTGTAAGGGAAACACACCACTGACGGATCTCAGGGTTGTTGGCATGGCAACGGACGCCCCTATCCGCCAACTTGTCCGTCTCCTCGTTCCGTGTCCATGCCACGGCGGAGAACCTTTTCTGGACAGTTTGGCCCATGGGGGGGTGGGATTTGATGCTCAACAGTGTGATATTCTCACGACCTTTGCCCTCGCCTGTCTCGAAGATAGGATAAGGTAAGCTTCCAGAGCTCACTGAAGGCCAGGCGCTCGAGCGATTAGTCTGGCCCTTGCCGCCAGACATCGATGACCATCTGATAACCAGAGCGCACTGCGATCGGTCCTGATCCCGCAAGCTGCAGGGCCATCAGGAACGTGCATATCTCCCCACATCCCGCCTCCTGCACAGGGTGAGGGAGAAGACCGTAGCATGAGCCAGTGATGTTACGGTGTTGGTGAGCCGACGACCGCCCAGCCAGCACCAGTGAACGGGAGATTTGGATCGACCGCAGAGTTATCCATGGAATTACGCTTGACAAACATCCTGTCGATCGGATAGTTGTCCCACGATTCCAGGAGTCTGCACGGGAACGGACCAGCTTGCTCCAGGTGAGCGGGCCAGGCATCATCCGAGCAGCATGAGGTCCTCATCGGGACGGGTTGCCCAAACGGCCATCTCGCCAAGGTCGAACTCTTGGCGAACAGGGCAATTGCCAGGGCAGCGTAAGAAACGATGCTATGGGGTATCGAGCTCCTCCTCCTCACACAACTGGTACTTCGGGCCGATCACACGGCGGTCGAGGGAGAGTGCGCCTTGAGTCGGGAAAGTTCGAGACACCAACCTTGCCAGCAAACGAGTTGTCTGTTGGTTCTGTCCCTGAGCTTTTGTGACGAAACTCCGAGACCAATGACACCAAGGGTTGGATAAGCGGTAACGGGTCTTGCGAAGCCCAACAATCTTGGCCAACATGGGGCCCTTTGGAAACGAACGTGTCTTCTTGGATCGATGCAGCGAGAGACGGTTCGCCAAGCTTCAGTAAATGGATTATTTATTCGCAGCAGTACGCCATTGACACTAATTCAGTGCCGCTCATCCAAGGCGGCACAAACGAGGATGACAGCGCCAGCTGGCCCCCGAACATCACGCCAGGCAAGCGTGGGCGCCGTCTGCACCGCCGCACGGCCAGCACAACTCCACGCGACAAGCGGAAGGATGTTGGCTTGGTATGTGGGGTCTGAGGTGGGGTGATTGGACAGCAGGAGCTCTAGAGTACGACTGCGGCCTCCTCCACCTCCTCCTCTTCTTCCTCGTCCTCGTCCTCATCCCTCCCTCCCTCCCTCCCTCCTCGATCCCAGAGAGCCCCAAAACTCCAGAGCCGAGGTTCTCTCCCTCCACTCTGGAGGCGGCGACGCCCGCGCGCCTGAACCCCATCCGCGCGCCCAGCCGTCGCGCGCGTGCGCGCGCACCCCTGAGGCCCTGTTCATGGGCGCGGTGTTCGAGGGCTCGGTCATCGTTTTAGGGGGAGGGGAAGGGGGAGGAGAGGCAGGGGGAGGAGGGGGAGGAGGAGGAGGAGGAGGAGGAGGAGGAGGAGGAGGAAGACCAGTGTAAACCCAAGAGTTATCAACGATGTTGCAATAAACCCTCCTTCCAAGCTCCCTCTTCATAGGCTCCTACAACGGCTCACCTCCACTGAGGGAACTGCCCTGTCGGAAGACAACCGCTTGAAGTTTCTGAAGCACGCCAAAATATTGTTGTCGGAATTCCAACGCCGCGGATTAACCTGATTGTTGCGTCTTCACGAGCCTGAATCGTGCCAGAACGCCATTCCTGGGATTTCAACACCGCGAATCAACGGAATTGCTGCAACAGCATAATCTTGAATCTTTTCAGAACGCCATTTCTTGTGGTACGTTGATCATAGGAACTCGTGAAACCCGTGTACATGTTATAAACGATTGTGCGCGGCGCCAAGGCAAGGGTCACATTTTGAAAAGAAGCCGCCCTCAATCCGTGAAGTTCTTGCAAAAGCACGCGGCGCTTGGCCTAGAACCACATGTTGAAAACCACCAGCCCTTAATCCGTGAAACCCTTGCAATTTTCTCAAAACGCATGTGCGCGGCGCTAAGGCGAGAGCCAGATTTTGAAAAGGAACCGCCCTCAATCCGTGAAGCTCTTGCAATTGTTTAAAACGAATGTACGCGGCGCTAAGGCGAGAGCAAGATTTTGAAAACCGCCCGCCCTCCATCTGTGAAATTCTAGACGCTTCGCGTATCCCCACCAGCCCGTCCAGAAATGAGCCCCAGAGGAGTGGAGGTGATGAGGGAAGCGGGGGAGCATGCAGAAGAACAAAGAGCGGGTTAAGCCGCCATACGTTCCAAGAGGGGGAGGATGTAGGAGGAGTCGTCGTCGTCGGAGTAGGAGGAGGAAGACGAGGAGCAGGAGGAGGAGCAGGAGGAGGAGGGGGAGGAGGAGGAGGAGGAGGAGGAGGAAGATGAGGAGGAGGAGATGGAGGAGGGCGAGGACGAGGAGGACGAGAAGGAGGAGGAGGAGGAGGAGGAGGAGGAGGAGGAGGAGGGGGAGGGGGAGGAGGGAGGAAGGAGAAAAAGAGGAGGAGGAGGAGGACAATGGCGAGCTTGGGGGCCTCTTGGGCCGTCTTTGGGGCCTCTTGGCGGTCCCGGGGGCCTCTTGCGTATCTCGGGGAGCTTCTTGTGTCCTTTTGAGAGTCTCTTGGAGGCCTCTTGGAGGCCTCTTGGGGGCCTCTTGGGGCCTCTTGGGGCCCTCTTGGGGCGCTCTTGGGGCGCTCTTGGGAGCCTTCGGGGCGCTCTTGGGGCCATCTTGGAGGAGATCTATCAAGAAGGGGGGGTTGCTTATTAGCGTTGCCCCTCTAGAGTGCCTCGAATCGCCTCTTGGGCCTTCCTAGAGGCCAAAATCCGTCCAAAACCTAAGGAAAATCAATGTTTTTTGCTTTCTCGCCTTTTCGCTCTTGGAGCCGTCTTGGGCCATCTTGGGAGCATCTTGGGGCCTCTTGGGGGTCTCTTGGGAGCCTCTTGGGGGCATCTTGGGGGCCTCTTGGGGCCTCTTGGGGCCCTCTTGGGGCGCTCTTGGGGCGCTCTTGGGGCGCTCTTGGGAGCCTTCGGGGCGCTCTTGGGGCCATCTTGGAGGAGATCGATCAAAGAAGGGAGGGTCGTATATTAGCGCTGCCCCTCTAGAGTGCCTCGAGTCGCCTCTTGGGCCCCCCAAGAGGCCAAAATCCTTCCAAAACCTAAGGAAAATCAATGTTTTTTGCTTTCTCGCCTTTTCGCTCTTGGAGCCGTCTTGGGCCATCTTGGACTCTCTTGGGGCCTCTTGGGGGTCTCTTGGCAGCCTCTTAGAGGCTTCTTGGGGGCCTCTTGGGGTCTCTGGGGCCCTCTTGGGGCGCTCTTGGGGCGCTCTTGGGAGCCTTCGGGGCGCTCTTGGGGCCATCTTGGAGGAGATCTATCAAAGAAGGGGGGAGCTCCAATTAGGGTTGCCCCTCTAGAGTGCCTCGAAGCGCCTCTTGGGCCCCCCCAAGAGGCCAAAATCCTTCCAAAACCTAGGTAAAATCAATGTTTTTTGCTTTCTCGCTTTTTCGCTCTTGGAGCTGTCTTGGGCCATCTTGGACGTCCCCGACACCTCGCGAGACGCCTCGTCCAGGTCAGTGGGGAGGGGTAAGGGGAGGGGTAAACCCCTCCCCGAAGGGGAAGAAGGGGGGTTGGCAGAGGAAACTCCCTAGACCACCTACGCCCTAAAGGGCTGGTGGGATTGTTACCCATGCTCAGGGTCATAAATGGTGGGGAGGTCTTAGCCGAAACGCCCGGTCCGCCCTAAACATTGGCCTCGGGGTGCGACAGGGAGAAATCATTTGCAAGGAAAAGGAATGGAGGAGGAGGAGGAAGAGGAGGAGGAGGAGGAGGAGGAGGAGGAGGAGGAGGAGGTGAGATGAAATGAGCAAGCGGCTTGAAGCCAGTGAGTTTCTCTATGGCGCATCGGCGGCCCACCGAGGCGGCGACGAGGAGCCCGAGGACACCCGGCAAGCCGCCCAGGCAATGGCCCCCCGAGAGGGAGGCCACAGCCAAGCAGCTCGCCGACCCGCGGGGACCGAGACCCCTGCAGCCGCCAGCGGCCGCCCCGCAGACGCCCCGAACGGCCAGGCACCCCACGGCCCACACCAGGCCCCAACTTTCCGAGCCACGCCCAGTGCTTCAGCGGCCGCGCTCCTGCCGTCCGCTGGACTCCCGCCCCTCGGCGAAGCTCAACCCGTGATTCAGGGCTCCCACGAGTACGGGGCGCAGCTCACACTATTCGCGGAGCGAAAATCTGCTGCGAAGCTGGAGAGGGCCTCAGACAGTCGAACACTACATATCTCTGACCATCGCAGCCTAGAGCCTTCAAAAAACACAACCAATTCTGTAGAGCACGCCAACTTGAGAAACCTGTAGCCAACAATACAGACTGCCCGCCCGTAGCTCCCGCGAGACAAGATGGACATACCCAGGACGGCCCTGGTGCACGCGAGCATGAACAGCATGGAGCGCAGGGCGGAGAACGACCTGAAGTGCGCACGGAGCCTCAACCATCGTCGCCGTGAAACGCATTGATGTGGCGGCCGAAGAAAAGGAGCGCCTGCTCTGCCTCCTCTGTCTTGGCCTTCTGCTCTGCGAACTGCTGCTTCTGCTGCTCTATGTCGCCCCGTGCTGCCGCCAGCTCCGTGTGGAGCTCTGCCACGCTGGCGCCGAGCCTTTCAGATGCCCCCCCGCTCGGCCGCGAGCTCGGCCTCCGCGGTGGCAGCCGCCTCATCCCGCCGATGCGCAGCCTCGGATGCGACCCCGAGCTGCGCCCTGAGCTCCGCGACCGACGCCTCAGCGGTGACCAGCTGCTGCTTCATCTGCTCCAGCTCCGTCGCAGCAGCGGCGAGGGCATCTCGCTCGGCCGCCAGGTCGGTGGCGACCCCAGCGAGCTTGGCGTCGACGCCCTCCATGGACTGCACGCGCTTGTCCTCCTTGGTCTTCTCGGTGTGCTGACTGATGCCCAGCTTGGGCTCCAGAGCGGCCGCCGAGTAGTGGTCCGATGTCGAGCCCTGCGCGCCCTCCAGCGCTTCGACTTCGGGCTTTGCCAGGACACGGCGCACTTCAGCGTGCACTCCAGGGTGGATGAGCGTGCGCCCTGCGCCGCGCCCTCACCTCAGACCACCGTTTTGCGACCTCGCCAGCGTCGCGCTTCACGAGGCCCTTCCTGACCTCCTCGCTGGTGGCCTTGCGGCCGAGGCCCAGCAACGCCCCTGCATCGAAGAGGGTGCCCTCGAAGCCCTCGAGGATGCCAGGAGCGCCGGGGGCGGCCGAGCCAACTGCACCCGCAAGGGCACACATGAGCTTCGCCGCCTCGTCCACGTCCGCCACGTACGCGATGCTCGCCCCATGCCGAACGGCGATGCCGCGGCCACCTCGGCCCCCCCCATCGCTGGAATCTGCGCGCGCCCCGAGGGCCGAGCGGTGCCGTAAGAAGACAAGTGCAGTAAGCAGAGCGAACTGAGACAAGTCTTGAGCCCATATGGCTACGGAGGAGGAGGAGGAGGAGGAGGGGCAGGAGGAGGAGGAGGAGGAGAAGGAGGAAGAGGAGGAGGAGGAGGAGGAGGAGGGTGAGGAGGAGGTGGAGGAGCAGGAGGAGGAGAAGAAGATGATGATGATGCTGATGTTATGATCATGGTGATGATGATGCTGTTGATGATGATACTGATGATGATGCTGCTGATGATGATGATGCTGATGCTGATGCTGCTGATGCTGATGCTGATGATGCTGATGCTGATGATGATGATGCTGATGCTGCTGATGATGAGGAGGATGATGAGGATGATGAGGATCAGGAGGAGGAGGAGGAGGACGCGTAGTGGGAGGACCAGGACGATGACGAAGACGAGGACGAGGGGGGAGTAGAGGCATGAGGACAAGGAGGACGAGATGCAGGAGGGGGATGGGCGAGGAGGACCAGGAGGAGGAGGAGGAGGATGAGGAGAAGGGCAGGAGGAGGAGGAGAAGGAGGAAGAGGAGGAGGGTGAGGAGGAGGAGGAGGAGGAGCAGAAGATGATGATGATGATATGATCATGATGCTGCTGATGATGATGCTGCTGATGATGATGCTGATGATGCTGATGATGATGATGATGGTGATGATGATGCTGATGCTGATGATGCTGATGATGCTGATGCTGATGCTGATGATGCTGATGCTGATGCTGATGCTGCTGCTGCTGATGATGATGATGATGATGCTGATGCTGATGCTGATGCTGATGCTGATGCTGATGCTGATGCTGCTGATGATGATGAGGAGGAGGAGGAGGAGGAGGATGAGGGTGAGGATGATGAGGATGATGAGGATCAGGAGGATGATGATGATGATGAGGAGGAGGAGGACGTGCAGTGGGAGGACCAGGACGATGACGAAGACGAGGACGAGGGGGGAGGAGAGGCATGAGGACAAGGAGGACGAGATGGAGGAGGGGGATGGGCGAGGAGGACCAGGAGGAGGAGGAGGAGGAGGAGGAGGAGGAGGAGGAGGAGGATGCTGACGATGCTAATGCTGAGGAGGAGGAGGAGGAGGAGGAAGAGAGGAAGACGGGAGCCGTTTTGCTCCCCCCCTGGCAAGGCGGCCCTTCCTCGATGCCTCTTCCCCTTCCTCCCCCCTCCTCTTTTCTCCACCCTTCTCCGCCCTCTCTTCTCCTCCTCCTCCTCCTCCTCCTCCTCCTCCTCCTCCTCCTCCTCCTCGTTTCGTTTGAGGCAGCTTCAAGGCCAGCGCTTCGGGTTTCAGGCGGATGCGACTGTTAGTTGAAATGCACGCGCTGTCACATCAGACGGGCATTGTGCAAGACCTCCTTAAGAGGGGCACTGGCTGCTCAACCGGCATGGTGTCGCCTCCACCCAGTTCGGCCGAGCGCTCTTGCCTCTTCGGCGCCTCGCGGGAAGAAGATCGTCGCGGAACGGGGGCGATCCGGCCGCACTCCGAGGTGATCCTGGCGGCCAGCATCTCGGGCTGCGTGGTCTTCGGCGAGCTCTCCTACATGAGCACTGGGGGCATAGTCGCCTCGACGACGACGAGGACGAGGGGGAGGAGGGGGAAGGGGGGCAGGAAGAGGAGGAGGAGGAGGAGGAGGAGGAGGTAGATGCGTGGAGAGGGAGGAGGAGGTGAGGTGTGGGACGAGGGGGGAGGAGGGGGAGGGGGGGCCGGAAGAGGAGGAGAAGGAGGAGCAATAGGATTGTATTGGGTTGGACACGTCGACAGAGGAGTGCTGTGAACGACGGCTTGTCAAGGCAGGAGAAGGAGAGGAATGGGAAGGAGGAAGAGGGGCGATGAGGAGCAGCAGGAGGAAGGAGGGCGGGGCGGGGGAGGGAGAGAAGGGTGGTGAGAACGCCGCTGCCCCTTCGGATATCCTTTCGATGAGGTGGGCTGAGGCGGTGACGACAGGCATGGTCACGATGACCGACAGCCGTCACCAGTTCCGGTTCATTCTGGACCAGATTCGTTGTCTCGGGGGCCCCCAAACGGGGTGGTGGCCACACCATGCGGTGAGTCGGTGGGGATTCGGGGTCGCTGCACGGTTTTGGGACTCGGGTCGTTCTTCGAGGACGTCTCGGGCGACTCTGGCGTCCGAGGTGCCAAAACCGTGCGTTGACGGGCCGTGCGGTGAGGTCTTGGGGGATTTCGAGGTCACCGCACGACCGCACGGTCTGTCACCGCACCGTTTCGGAACTCCAAATTGTCGGTTTCAGTACGAGCGTGATCCGTTCAGTAGGTGCCGTCGTCTATTCGGAAGCACTCGCCGTCCGTCCGTGCCAGGCAGCGTCTGGGCGCGAGGGCGACGAGGCGAGGAAGGACAGGACGCCCCGGAAGGTTCGAAGCGAACGCCAGCAATCCGGCGCTCCCCCGAGTCCTCGGAGTGCTCGCGGAGGCCTCGGCTCAGGCAGGCTTCCCGAGTGTACCCCTGGGGCCTCGTCGGGAAGGTGATAGCAGCGCTGCACCTATTCGGTGGTTTTCGGGGTTCCGAGCCATGGAGGAGCTCGACGAGAGCTGCAGCACGGCTGTACCGATGCCCCACGTGGCTTTCGGTGGGCCACCTCATGCCCCCCTCTTCCCCTCGCACCCAGGCGTCCAAGAAAGCATATATCCAGAGACGTACCTGACCCATCTACACAGCACGTGGCAACGTCAACGGGCCCGGCCAGAACGAGGGACTCGCCATACGTAGGAGTGCGCGTGCAAAGTCCGGCGGAAGCCTTACCGAGAAGCAAAAGGGCGCTGCACGCTCCGTGGGGTCCGTTCGGAGGCATTCTTGGGGGGAGCGACAGCATTCTGCTAATTGCACCCCCCCACCACGGGCGCAGCAGCGTGTGCGGCAGCCGCGCGCCTACATAGCAGCATGCAGGGAGGGCGGGGCCTCGCTGGATCGGCGCGTGGCGTTCCTCCGCTGGGCCCCTCGCGGGTGCAGCAGAGCGGCGGCAGCTGCGCGCCCAGCAGCACCCCAGGGAGGGCGAGGCCTCGTCTGATCTGCGCACGGCGCCGCGCGAACGCAGCCTCCGAGGCCTTCGGTGGAGCTCCTCATGGGGCCACAAACCGTCTGACGGGGCTCGACCTAAACGGTGTTTTGGCGATTTGGTGGGCTGTTTTCGTTTCGACTTCGTTTTGCGGCAAAGGCGGATTGAAGACAAAACGAGGGAAAACGACAACAACACGAAAACGAAAAACACCGTTTAGGTTCAGCTCTGTCGCCTGGGGGCATATGCCGAGATGGACATGTACGGAGGGCAGAGGGCAAGGACGGGAGGAGGGATGAGGGGGCAGCGGGAAGGAAGGAAGGAGGACGCGTGGCGCTGTCTCGTCAGAACGAGGACCCAACACCACAGGATGGTTGGGGAAAAAACGACCCCCTGGGATCTGGGGCTTTGGCGCCCGCTGGACGCCCTGCAGAAGGTCCCCCGGGCTTCCCGAGTCTCCTGGACGCCCCTGCTGGACCTACAGCCGGCCCAAGTCGGTCAGGAGAGCAGCCGAACGGCCCGACGAGAGCACCGAACGGCCCCAGACACCCACCAGACGCCCGAAGACGACCCACAGAAGACCTTCAAGGGGCCTTGGAGATGCAAAATTACCCTGGCGAAGAACCCAACCGTACGCAGTTGTGAGTAGCCTGCTAGTAAGTATCTGCTTCGGTGGCCGCGAAACGTGTGCGGGGTGTGCCCAAGCGGGTGCGGCGGTGCCATGCGAACGCAACCACTGGGGCCTTCGGTGGGGCTCTCTATGGGGCCACGAAACGTTTCAGGGGTGTGCCGAAACGGCGGTTGCACGCGAGCGCGCCGCCGATGTTTGTCTCCTGTCTTTTTCCGTTTACATACATGCACGCGGCTCCGTGCCCGGATCCCTCTTTTGAACGGTTGAACGGGCGCAGACGAGGCCAGAGATTGCCGTGTACGAGGGGTCCTTGCGCGTGCCTTGCACGTCTACTCGCCATCAGGGCACCGCCTTTCGGGATGACGGCCCTTGAGCGCTGAGCTTTGTCCGTTCGGGTACCATGGTTTCAGAAAATTGGCGCCCATCTTTCAGATGTGCAGAAGCGAGACAGAGCCCTGGCCCACGTCCGAGGTTCGGGGACCTCGATCTGAGCGAGTGCAAACCGTTTCGAAGAATACCCACTATTGCGGGCCACGGCCTACGTGTGAATGTGGACATTGATGTCGGGGGTGCGGGGGGGGGACATCGTGTGAATGTGGACATTGATATCGTGGAGGCGGGGCGTGGACGGGCGTTTATTTTTCACATATCAGATCTCCCCCAGTATCTCCCCCAGTTGCAGTCAACGCGCATGGTAAGGACGAGTAGAATTCCCAAGGGTACTTTGGCATTCCTGCCTCTTCGGCCATCCTTAGCGAATCCTTAGCCTGGCAAGCTCTAACTGTGACATTGAAGGGGCTTGCATCCTTACCGCGCATCCTTGTCATACGCGATGACGGTAATTTCGAGTGAGTGGATCTGGTATAGCTCGTAGTCTGGCAGACTATTTTGGAAGTTGTCTTGGTTGCGCTTGGCGTATTGGCTAGAGGCCTGGCTATCACCCCGTCGGGAACCATCATCGAACGTGCTGGGCCCTCTAGTTCTGGCAACCTCCATGACAAGGCGTGATGGCTTCTGCCTGCTCCCCTGGTAACTGATATCTTCATTGCCTGTTGCCAGGTCGTTTACTGGTGTGGTTTGGCAATCATACTGATTGGTATTCGCCTCGTTGCACGAGACGCTGTGCGAAAGGAGCCATTTTTCGAATGCCGCTGCAGCTGTCTCCGTGTCCATGTGTGTCATCTCGCCCACTTGCCAAGCATTCGTCTACAACTGCCGTAAGTGTCTTCTCGAACCTTCGTAATTAGCATTCATCCAATTTGGTCCTTTGCACGATCATGCTTCTTGACGCGTCGCGCATCCCTATCGGCTCATCCAGAAAGGACGCCCAGGCGACTTCCACTGATCTGGGAAGTGTGGAAGCTCGCAGTGGAGCAGGGAGCAGGGGGGGGGGCAGCCGTCAAACCGAGTGTCGGTATCGGCCTGAGCAGGCCCAGGAGTCAACCATGAATGCCTTCGCGGATGGGAGCCTCTTTTGCTAACCTGTGCCCCAGATCAGAATCCCCGGAAGATGATACAGTTCGGGGGTCTGGCGGGGATAATCAACGATTTTCCCACCGAAGGTGATGCTATGATGATGATGATGATGATGGTGATGATGATGATGATCATGATCATGATCATGATCATGATCATGATCATGATCATGATCATGATCATGATCATGATCATGATGATGATCATGATGATGATCATGATGATGATCATGATGATGATCATGATCATGATGATGATGATGATGATGATGATGATGATGATGATGATGATGATCATGATCATGATCATGATCATGATGATGATCATGATGATCATGATGATGATGATGATGATGATGATGATGATGATCATGATGGTGTGATGATGATCATGATGAGGATGAGGAGGAGGAGGACATGATCATGATGATGATGATGATGATGATGATGATGATGATGATGATGATGATGATGATGATGATGATGATGATGATGATGATGACCATGATGGTGTGATGATGAACATCATGATGATGAGGAGGAGGAGGATTAGGATGATGAGGATGAGGATGAGGATGAGGATGAGGATGAGGATGAGGATGAGGATGAGGATGATGATCCTGGGCTCTCGTGTAGACTGACCTTGTAGATCTTGGCACAAGACCGATGGGGGCCTCTTGATAGCTTACCTCGGCCATCGCTGGGGGGGCATATTGGCGGCTGTTGCCCACGCCGGCGCCGGCCAGCTCCCGCTCGCGTCCCGCGCCGCTCTTGTCGGTGATACAGTGGGGGCCCATGCCAGGAAACACCCTGCTTGCCTCCAGGGTGCCCTGGGTTTCTTGGGTTCCGATGGTTTTGCGACGAAAAGCGCGGCGTTCCCACACCAAAGATCAGTGGACGTCCTGGGGTCTCAGGGTTGGGTTTCTTCTGGAAGGTTTCTTGTGGTCGGGCCCCTGCTGTAGGGGTTGGGGGCAGCGCCGCCCTCCCTGCAGCGACCCCGAGCCTTGGCCTGCCGAGCATGCACGGGCCCCCGACGGGTTGATCTTTGTTCCGCTCGCCCCTTGCTTTTCGCCAGGGGCCGCCTGCCGGCCCAGCACTGGCCTTGGTGGCCTCGTGGGGCCCGAAAAGCCCTTCCACCCCCAGGAGGCCGAGCCAGCAAGCGAAAGCCATGCAGCCGGAACGACGCGTCGGGAATTTTTCATCGACGCACTTGCGCCTCAATTGCCCCAGTCGGTTGCCAGTGGCGCGCCAGTGGCGCAACTTCAGGAGCCCGGAGCCGAAGCTGGGGCCGAGGCCGAGGTAGCCAAGTCCGCACCTATGCTTGCAGGGTATACCCGTCAGGGCGGCGCTGCTGGGCTCTTCTGCTCGAGCACCTGGCGCCCCCTGGGCGCCTCGGGCCTCGAGCATTGCGCTTTTTTTTGGGGGGGGGTTGCATCAAACGCGTGGGGGGGGAGAGAGAAAGGTGCACTTTCGGGGCCCTACAGGAGCCCCGGGCCCCCTGGGGCCCCAGTGGTGCGCGGAGGGGAGGGGCACCCGTCTTCGCCCCCCCGCTGACGAGGCCCGCGGCCGGCGAGCCAGCGCGCGCTCGCGCGCCGCGGAGCCCTGGGCCGTCGAGCCCTCGGCCGTGGAGCCCTCGGCCGCGGCCGGCGAGCCGCTCGGCGCGCCGCCGAGCCCTGGGCAATCGAGCCCTCGGCCGCTGGGCCGCGGCCGCGGCCCGCGCGCGCGCGCCCGCGGAGGCCCGGGAGGCGGCCGCCGCCGCCTCGCGCGACGCCGACGTGGAGAAGGCCCCTCCTTCGCGCGCGGAGGCTCTCCGGGCCGCCCAGGCCCCGAGATCCTCGGGGGCAACCTCAGGGGGTGATGGGCTCAGGGGGGGGATGCAGCGGCACGCAGGACGAGATCTTTTCTTCTTGAGGCGCCAGCGCTGATAAGTGGTTGGCGAGAGAGTGACGGGACCGCCAAACGCACGGCGTCTGGACAAGTGAGGAGAGATGTATTCATGTTGGGTGCGACCCCTATGCGATGAGGAGTGATGGCGTCCGTGAGACAACGCCCGACCTGTCTGCGGCAGATCGTAACCACCACCCCTTCCCTCGTAGAATACAGCGGCGGGCCTGGGTGCCGCGGATCAGATCTCCTTCCCTGGTTAATATTTCAGACGGTATGTAAATGGGATCGGCGTGGACAAAACAGGACGGAAGTCATATCACAACATTTGCAATCGGATGCGCGCGGACGGAAACCGGATACACCGCAATACAAATTCAAACCAAATTCGAATCCGCACCGCTTCAATTGGATCCGCCAAGGTGTCCCGCATGCGAGCGGGTGCAAGAATTCAACCCATCGTGCCCAGGCCCAAGAGGAGCAAGTTGTCGTCCTGTGGATGTAGGCTCAGGGGGAGGGGGGCGGGATAGGCTATGGGGGGGATACAGAGATCCAGAACCCCCCGCGCGGAGACTCCAGGTCGCCCAGGCCCAGAGATGCTGAGAGGAGGGCCAGTTGAGACAAGGGTCGTTGGCCGGCGGGAGGGGCCCCTCGTCGTCACGGCTGGACGCAGCCCGGCAAATTGGTGGGACCCTGTCAGGGGTCCGGGGACCGACAGGTGTTTGAAGCAATCAACAAGCAATAATCACGCGTAGCATATGGTTTGAGCTGCCCCCCTTCCCCCGAATGCAATGCTGGTTTCGGATCTTCCGAGTTTGCGTGTCTGAGCTGTGATGCGTACTCGTGTTAATTTTGAATTGTGGGGGAGGGGGAAGTGTTGTTTTTGTTTGTCCCTCAGCGGGATTTTGAGGTATTGTTGTCTCAACATCTCCTGCACTGAGATCTGTGGTCCCTGAGATCCAGGCATTGAAATTTTTGCACACAGGTTTCAGGCCCCAGGACCATCATAGATCGATCCAGCTCGAAAGGTCCGCAGAAGGATGGGGTCCAGGGCTCCCCAGTGCTGATTTTGTGCGGCGTTGCAGTTGTTTCGCACCGTCGGACGCCAGGGGTTCTGATTTTGCTCCAGTGCAGGTTCCCACAGAGAGAGAGAGAGAGAGCGAGAGAGAGAGAGGTCCGGCCTCTTCTCCAGGGCCAGAAATCACAAGCCCATCCAGGGCTCAAGATCGGCGTACACGCCCTCCTGGCTCGGCCCGGAAGGCGCCTACACCAGGATCGGTGTAGGTGCATGGTTGACGCCCTCCCATGGAAGAGCCGGTCTGCCCAGAGGTCTCGAGCCGTTCCCCGGGGCGGCTTCTCATCCCGATGTGGTATCTGCCGGCCTTGGGGCCCGGCGAGACGGCGAAAGGTGTCCGTCATGTGCGTGTTGGACCAGTGACAGGGAGGCGGGGGAGTGGAGCTGGAGCTGTTGTTTGCAGTCTACATTCGCTGCTTTGTTTCTCCGGATGCCAGCGCCAGGAGAGGCCAAAGCGTCCAGGATGCCCAGGGGGGCTCGGATGTCTAACGCTTCAAAGGTGGAGGAGAAAACAGCCTCCAGAAAGGCGGAGAAGCCCTCCAGGATGGAGGTCGAGCCTTCACTCGAGAGGCTCTCGACCCTCTTTGCTTTCGATCCTCGATGGGGTCGGAGGATGATCATGCCGCCTCGCTGGAGGCATCGGCGGTCCAGCGCCGATCTGCAGCCCGCTCTTCTCCGCCCCAGCGCCGCCGACGCATCGGCGATGCGGTGCGACCCTCCGCACGCCATCTTTCGAAGAGTAACATCGGGAGTGCCGCTTTTATTGCGAAGCGCGCCCATCCAAAGATGTTGCCAGGGGGCGCGAGGGTTCTCAACGTACGGGCATGGATTTCTCTGTTTGGTAAGCAATTTTTTACGCCAATGGCAGTAACAAAATTGATCGAGGTCCGAGAGGACAGCCGAGGTCCACAGTGACCCCACAAATGCCACAACCGACCAGTGGGAATTGAAGAACAGATGCTTGCCAACGTGGGCCCCTAGCAGAAGGTTCTTGCACTCTCGATGTGTCATCCGTGTGTGTGTATGTTCAGCCTGATGTGTTGTGCAATTATTGTGCTGCGTCTTTGGAGGACCTTTCTCATCGCGCCGCTGTCCGCGTCGAACCCATGTCGAACTCGCGAAATCCGCGTCGAATACATACTGACTCCGCGTCGAATCCACGGCGACTTTTTGCTTGGCCGAATCCGCGTCGGACCCGCGTCGGGCACGGGAGGAGACAACAACGTGCAGGACGGGCAAGGTCCACCCGACGATGCAGCGTGACGACTCATGTAGGGGGCAAGGTGCGGGATGCACGCAGTGTGGTGCATCTAACAGTCAACCCGCATAGTAAGGATGTGCAACTTTGCAAGGATAACCTTGCATCCTTCCTCTTCGGCCCATCCTTGGCCGCTTTCGCTGGCCGCGCCCCGCTCGCAGAGTGTCGACATGGCCTTCCAAGGCCCTTGCATCCTTATCGCGCGTCCTTCTTATAATAAACTCGGCGGCGAGTGAGAGTGAGAAGTGAGAGTGGGCCTTCTCAGGAGGCTCGGAAGTCCCCTGGCCTTGTGAGCAGTTCTCTATGCCTTTCCCTAAGACACAGAAAAGCTCTCAGAAGGCCGGAGGGCTTCTGAGAAGCCCCGCCGCTGCTTTCAGAGAAGGCCTTCTCCTTCTCACTTTCGCCCCCTAGCTCGCCGCCGATAGACGGGTTGACTGTACGTGGCAAAAAATCTCCGTGGTGCCACCTTCGGCGCCTGGGGACGCCGGCCAGCGCACGGGGCGATACCCGCGAGGCGGCGGCGGGCGCCCACCGCGCGAGATGCCTCCAACGCCGCCCAAGCACTGTCCGTAGCCGTTTGGGCTAAGGGGGCTGCCCAGAGAGACTCCCCTCGAATTGCAGACGGCACACACTCCGCATCGCGCTGATAGCCAACTGGTTGTGTGTCAGTTGCGTGCTGGTGTGATGTTCTCATTTTGCTCCCTCGGGTCTTGTGGCGCGGTGATCAACACATTTTGCGCTGTGGAAGGCGAGGGCATTCTCCCAGGACTGAGTTTCCCACAGCAGTTCACTCTCTTGCTCCGGGCCAAGATGACCACGAATGTTTTGTTTAAGGCTGAATACGACAAGTTTCTAAACCTACGATTGCGGTGACAGGGTGGGGTTACCACAACGCTAGTGGTAAGGAGCGGAGCGAGGAGTTATGGGAGAAGCTCCATCGCAAGATGCTCGACTACATGAATGCATCGACGCAGTCTTTCGTGTCGGGTTACAGGCACTTCCCTACTGCATTCAGCCTTGCAGACGTGTCGATGCTTATCAAACAACTCCTTTGCTGCCAGCTTCTTCACCCTGGAGAACGGACAGCCGTGCGTCAGCTGCGTGCCCCAAGCGCCCGCAGCCTCGCAGACTTTTTTTCATAAGTTTGCCGCGTGTTTCCACGTGCAGTACCCTCGATGTAAGATGTTTTCGACAACGTCCTGCAGACCAAGGAAGTAAGTTTCTTCGAACTTGTGGACGGAAAGGCAAAGCCTTTCAATGTGGCCTCAAAGACGAAAGAGATTGAACACATCGTTGCGGTGCTACTATTCGTCTTCCAATGCGAACATTCGGTCTTGCATATATTCGGAGGCTTCGTGACGGCGTGCATGTTTAACGCCGCACAGGGGAACGAGTTGTTATCACCTTGGCTGGAGCCGTATGTGCCACATGTTATTGAAAAATTGACGAAGTGATCGCTTTGTTGATTGGAGATGCGCTCCCATCCGTCTTCGCCAAGCTTTGGGTTTCGGACAGGGGCCAGCTGCTCTCGACAATGAAGGAGATCATCACCATGCTTCGACATCTCAAGGACGGGGCAGACATCTTCGATGCCTTTCTCTTGAAGGGCGTGCCCGAAGACTCGCTCCGCGAGAGGTTTCTTCCTGAACTTACGAAGTTCAGCCGATCTTGTGCCGAGCTACGCGACGGCAATCACTTCGCACATGCGCCAGACCTGTCCTTATGGCATCACCGAGTTGGAAGCGAGCACGCAGTCATTCTGCAGCGCTTGTGGCGCAGGCATATTCAGCATTAACACCATGGACCAGTGGATTCAAGTGCAAGCGATGGTGGCGCTGATTCATGGCAATACCTTGTGTGAGATAGTGCATGCATGACGTGTATATACGCACCACTCGCCGCCACTCGCCGCCGTTTGACCTCTAGGGGCAGCTTTTTGCCATTATGCTAAAACGCATCAGGATCACACTGGTATCGGAGCTACCACACGATCCCCGCATGGTACCACTAATCGCACGTCTCGTCAGAGAGTGTAGCACAATCTCTCTTTACTTTCCATACTGGAACATTCCCTCGCTAGGAGGACTGATCCCTGCGCCATGGCGCTTTCTTCTCTTCGCTATCGAGCGCCGACGCGATGGCGCTGTCCGAGACGGAGAGCGGCTCATACATCTACGACTACATCTCCACGAGTGGGAATTCCGCACATAGATGCGCATGAGCGCCGCCGTGGCTTCAGTGGATCAAGAGATGGGTGCGCCACAGCAACGCGCGATCACTGCAGCTGTCAACAGGTTCTTGTAGAAGGCTTCAGAGGTGACGCATTCGATATTGCCATGGATATCGGTAAGGACGTGCTTCTGACTCCGAATGGGATCGATCAGTTGGTGCTGGCGGTTCGTACTTCACTCTTCCCCATAGAGGCACAGGGAGCGAAGGTCCTGTTCCAGGTGGGGCAGAGACCATATGGACCACCGTCACGACAGCACGGTGCATCTATGGTCTCGTACATCGCCCGAGGGAAGCGTCGATGGAAACTTGCCCCCAAGTTAGATCCTAAGATCTTGGTGAGTGACGATATGCTTGGATCCCTTCTCTCGGGCCATGCTGACCTCTCGCCTTCGAAGAACCTGATGGCGTTGACATCCACAGGAAATGTGACAACCTTCGACTAGATCGAGGATGTCTTGATCCTCCAGCACGGCTGGATACACATCCGCCAGAAAGGCAAGGGTGAGTCTGGCGAAGGCCCCAGTTCTTCGACGCGGGCGCAGCCCAGACCCAGCTACCAGAACAGGAGCAAGGGCAAGGGCAAAGTGCGCTTCTCCAGGCCGCAACACGCCTGGTACACTGCTTATGAAGGGTGGTGCGAGCAGGAGGAGCATTACCCTGAGGAGCTGAGCCCCTACGGATATAACGCGCCCGGCTATGCGCCGGAGCACGGCCGGGGCGACGCGGCCAAGGGCGACTGCCCGACGAACGCACCTACGTTGACGAGGAATCGCATGCTTATTGGGCTCCTGTCCAGGACGGCAGCGAGCTCAACGTCGAGGTGGTCGACGAGATGGTCAAGGCTGGATGCGCAGAGGAAGATGCTTCTGACGCGATCCAAGAGAACCTGGTTGCTAATCCCGGCACCAAAAGGAGGAGCAAAGGCAAAGGAAAGAGCGGAGGCAAGAGTTACCACTGCACGCCCTGGTCGCCCCTGGTCGGCAAGGGGGGGGCCTTCCTTGGAAGATCGCAAGAGGCGGCCCCGGGAGATCAAGAAACGCTCGACGTGCAAGACCCGCCGCGAAACAGGCCACTGGCCCGGGGGGGGGCCTTGAATGCCAGGGCAAGCCTAGGACGGCAATGGTAGAGTACGCTGGAGTCACTGGCGAGCGCCATGTCCAGTTACGCGAGGACGACGACGAACAACAGTTCACATCTGTCAGTCCTGTTGCTGCATCACCATCAATCCCTCATCATATCATTAGGAACAAGAAGGAGTCGATGAGGATGGATTCCGGCGTTTCGCGTTGCTGCTCTTCTTTCTCTTCTCGCATCATGCGACACATGGCGCGCGCGTATGAGGGGGTGGATTGTGACGGGCGGTGTATCTTGCAGCACAACTGCGTTGAGCATCGCGTCTGTGAGAGTTGCGTGGGGATGACCGAAGACAGTCCGGTTCAGGGCCCCCCAGGGCTGAGGGGGATACTCTTGGGTTCGCGGCTGTTCGCTCGAGCGAATCTTACTCTATGGCGAGCGTTTCTGATGGGGGGTTTGAGGGGGCGGAATCTGTTTCGGATCCCATCGCTGTTCCTGGTCAGGATGCAGAATTTGCTTCGGGTCAGCGCAAAGGGCTCAGTTATGGTCGCGTTCTCCGGGGCACTCCAGATCACGTAGATTGGGTTTGCAAGGTGAGGAAACCAGGTGAGGATCTGGTTCTGTCCTTGGGATGGGTCGATGGCAACGTTACTCGGAAGGAAGACGGACAGTTTGAGAGTTTCGGGGCCGAAAGTTTCCGATGGCAAAGTTTTGCCTTCTTCGAGTTCTTGTTCCGGCTTGAACGTGCAACTTCCAGATCCCCCGTTGCCTCATCCATGTGCGCGAGGTTGTAAGAATCTCTCAGGAGTTGGTTCTAGCGTTCGTTTCATTGCTCGCGCCTGCAAGGATTGCGGCCACAAGACCAAGAAGGAGAGGTGCGCGGCGCTACGCTCCCCAGTGAGCGTCCGCACGATCTTCTAGGTAATCGTGGCAGTGCTCCAGATCTTGTTCGCGCGCGTTGTTGTCGTTGCCCGACATCTATCGATGAGCAGCCCAGGAAGCTAGCAGAGGACAAGAAAGCAACGGCACAGAAAGTTGAACGTTCCAGTAACGTACAAGCAGAAGCAATCGAGAGCACGGTCGAGGATGATCGCCGTATCACCTCTGTAGACTTAAAGGTTGTACTAAAGGCTTTCACCAAACGTGCTGTTGAGATTTGCAACGATGCAGGTGACACTAGCGCAGGTGAACTTACTCCGTTGCTTCATGGCTGTGTCGCAGGAGTCACATATTATCGTCTTGTCGGTTTTATGGCTCCAACGCAGAACGTTTCGACCGAAGTTCCAGCTCTTTCTAAGCTTCGTGCGGTTGACGTCTTCAAAGATGAAGGTGTTTGGGTTGTTCTAGACGAGGTTTGTAATTCTTCTTGTCGCGGTAAAGTTTGGGCTCTTGACGCAGAGGATACATTCGAGAAAATGGGTTTCTATCCTAAGTGGGCCCGCAGACAGCGTAAGACGGACAGCGGTATAGGAGGACAGGCAGGGAGTGAGACGGCAGGTAGGAAGAGTTTCCCGTTTCGTATCGTTGCTTCTCTGGGCTCCGTGGGTGGATGTCTTGAGTCTCATCAGTTGAAAGGTTCGGATCCTGTTCCTCTCTTGTTATCTCTTCCCACGCAGGCTTCTCTCGGTCTCGTGGGGGATCTTGCTAATGGTCGCGCTCTTTTGAGTCCGGAAGGTGACGTCGAAGTTTTCTCGTTGTGCACGCCCAGGTCTTCTTATCATTTGTCTTGATCAGTTTGACCCAAAGCATGTTGCGGATTCCATTGGTCCGTTGCGCATTTCGTATCCAAGCAGCTGCCCAGCTCCCGCCGGCCGCGCCGCGCCGCCTGCTGTCGTCGATCACTGCGGCGACGACGGGATCACGCGCGCGCCTGCGCCCGTCGATCACTCCAGCGACAACGAGGAAGCGCGGGTCGCCGTCATGGCTGCCGGCGCTGGTGCTCGCCCCACACCACAGGGCTTGAAGCGCAGTGGTCGCGCTGGGTTTGGAGGACTTCGATAAGAGCCCGAGGTGATCGGGGTCGTCGATACTGAGAGAGCACACTCGCCGTCGCCACCGCTCCAGTCATGATGTGACCACCAGAGGGCGCGACGCCAACGCCATCATAGACGCGCCCATTGCTGCAGATGAGAATACGGCGAACAATGATCGGCACGTGCTGGCGGACACCAGGGCTCCTGGACGATCCGACCCACACACGCTACGTCGGTCACCATCCGAACGTCTTGCGCAATTCAGTTGAGAATGAACATCTCGCTGGCATTACTGCGTGTGTAGGATAAGCTTTGGCGAAGAACACGTCTTCACAGTCTGAATGCATGGTTGCCATCTGTCGTTCTGGTCGGCATCGCTTTGTTGCAGTCAGTTATGGTATCAAGAATTTCTTGAAGCAGTATGACATCGAATACAGTCCTGCACGCCTGAGTCGTCATGAGTGGTCCCAGCGTACTTGCATCGGGGAATGCGATGACTGCTGTCGCGTATCCGATTGGGGCCGTGAGATGGCGCGGACTGCGACTGACAAAGTGGTTTCGCTCTTTACTGAATCTTTCGAGAAGTTCAGTGCACCGCCGCCTCCAGTTCCTGAGCCGTCTGCCAAGCGCAGACCCCGTGACGGGGCTGAGCCGGCCAGGAGGGAGGAGGGGGTCTCGCGCATCGTCGAGTGTGGTTGACGGAGAAGACGACAACGACGCGGCCACTGTCATCCGTGAACACATGTGCTGGGAAAGAGCTGCAATTCGATTTGACTATCTGTCACGAGGACAACAGGACGCCTGCAGATTGTGCGATTTGTACGTATCGCTCGTGAGTGTGCAGAGATTGGTACATTGCCCAAATATGTCGGCGGTTCTTCCGCTGCTGCTGCGCCGCCGCCACCTGTCGCCGCATCGTCTTCTGTCGCTGCATCACCCCCTGCATGTCAGGCGCGAGGTTCGCAGGGCGATGACGACGACGCGCCGAAGAAGAAGGCTCGCATGAGCAACGCCAGCAAAGTGGCGGGTCTGCCGCCGGGCGAAGCTGCACCTCTGGCCACGATCGTTCGCCTTCCTGGAATGCCTCCTATGATGCTGCCGCCCAAGCACAAGCCAACTGTCCTCGTGCCGAGGCGGCCGGACGGGCCGCCGCCTGCGCGCCTCAGGACTCCCCTGCCGCCTCCGCCACCGGAGCCGCCGCGCAGGGCAGAGCCGCTGCCGCCACCGCCACCGCCTCCGGCGAGTGCTGTTGCCGCCAGCAGCGACGACGAGTCGGACAAGACTCGTGCGTCTCGTTCGGGATTCCCGACATCTCCTGTCGAGAGTGACCTGGCCACGGTGGGTGGTGATCGGGCCAGAGATCCAGTCGTGGACTTCGAGCCGATTGCAGTTGGCGCAGAGCAGCTGGATTCCCTCGTCGAGCAGGCCAAGAAGCAGGGCAACAAGAGAAACTTCATCGCGTACGTTGATTCACGATCGCCCCCACCAGGGGGGTCGATTGGCCGCGCGGACGAGCGGGACACTGAGAAGTTCGTGCGTGTGAGTTGCAAGAGTGATCCGTTCAACACTCAGATCAAGTTCCCGCCAGCATGGCCTTCTTGGAAGAAGAGTTCCATGGGTCGCACAGAGGACACCCAGTCCTGGAGGCGTATAGAAGATCGTGTTGCCATAAATTATTCTGTGGATGCTGAAGAGCACGATCGAGTAGCAATCTTTGCGGCCTCCGAGGATCCGCGTTGACGGAACATCGTATTTGTGCACGCCGCTGCAGCTGGATCAGCATGAGGTGACTACTACGCATGTAACAAATCGTGCCATTAGATTGCTCTGCAGTGCGTAGCACCAGTATGCAAGATGAATTGTTGTCTGCGTGTGTTGCCGAACTGTCCGCACAGGGCATGTCTGCTACCGACAAAGGAGATCGTCGAGAAGGTGATCAGGAACACCGATCCGCTTCGCTGACGAGTGGGGACCAACCTGGCCAGGGTGCTGCTCTACGTCATCGGCATCGCGTTCGCTTGCCCAGTCTCGAGCGACACGGTGGCGCGCCCGCATTGGGAGCCGCCGATGGCAAAATATATCGTCGAGTGCATTCCTGATCTCGCTGTCGCCTACACATCACCATCTAGTCATCATGTTATCAGTGATTGTTTCTCTGGCTTGGCTCAAAATCATGGTCCTGTAACTGTTGCTCTCGGTTATGAGCCTTGTTGCTCAAGCCTTGAGGTTGCCAGCGCGCTGAAGTCGTACCTCGAGTCAGACGCAAACATCACGACGAGTCAGAAATTGCTTGATTGTCTCAGAGAGTTAGGTCAGAAGTTTAGACTAGATAGGCTAACACTTTCAGCTTCACCCGCTGAAGCCGCAGAGGAGAGAGCTAGAGACGAGATGGGCGCGATCATCGGTGATGACGACGTCGCAGCTGCCCCTATGGAGCGCTTGCGAGATGAAGAACAATATATCCTAGAACAAATCAACTTACTTGGCGAGCCAAAACACGGATGAAAGAGAGGGAAGGAGCGGTTGCACATCCCACTCCTCGCTAGGGTCGCAATTAACGACTGCACAGACAGTTTGGTCATGCACCTCGTCATGTTCTCGTGCAGCTATTGAGAATCTCGAGAATGTCGTCGGACTACATTGAAGCTGCCAAGAATTATCGATGTGAATATTGCGAACATCATCAACCGTTAGCTCAGACCCTTAAGTTTGCCTTGCCCAAGAAATTCTGCTTCAACCGTGAGATCGGCATCGACTGTCTGGAGGTAAAGGACAACAGTGGAGAACGCTACACCTTCTTGAACATAGCGTGCCAGGGTACAACATTTCAACGTGTAATCTTTGTCAAACAAGGAGGTGGTACGCCATCTTCGAGAGCATGCCTCACTGCGCTCCAACAACACTGGTGTGCAGGGGCAGGTAAACCCAAACGAATGGCGTTAGACCGTGGACTGCGCAACAGAGGAGTGTTTCTGCAATGGGTTAAGAGTCGACGCCGGAGTCGAGTCTCCTGAGCAGATAGGCCGCACCGAGAGACATGGTGGTTTTTGGAAGAACATCTTCAAGAAGGTGGCACACGACAAATATGTTACCGAACTCGATGAAGTCACGATGGAGTCATCTCTACTGCATCAGAAGTTGACAGCACGAAGAATGAGATGTCACGAATCGGCTGATTCGCGCCTGCTCAGTGTGTACTCGGAAAGATGCCCTGTGTCCCAGGGAGTCAATTCGACGTCGAAGAAGCTTTCGACTTAGGAGTGCTTGCGAATGTTGCAGAGGGCGGGGCCGACGAGTTTTCTCGCCAGGCTGCGATCCGGGCGTCTGCCAGGAAAGCATTCGCGGAACACGACGTCGGGGGTGGAACGGCAAGGGCCGCTCTCCGAAAAGCAACGCCACTAGCAGGGGAATATCAAGTAGGGGATGTAGTGTGTTTTCGTAGAAGGCCGACCGTCGGCGAAGTCATTGCTAAGTGGAGCACTGGTTCTCGCATCGTTGAATTCGATGGCAAAAACGCATGGATTATTGCAGAGGGTGTACCTGTCTGCGTGGCTGTCGACAGGCTTCGACCGTGTGCTGCCGCGGAGGCGTTGGCATGCCGGTATCTCTCTAAGCGTCGCGACGGTGGAGTCGAAAGATATGCACCTCCAGACGGCCAACAACAGTCATTTGCGGATGAGACACGAGCTGCCATAACCATGGGTGCGTGAGTATCTTGCACAAGAACATCGCATGGCGACGGAAGAGCTGCCGGGGATCCCAGAGGACCCCGTATTCATAGAAGAAACATTTCGCCAAATGGACGAAGATGAACTGTCTGAAGGAATGGTCGTTCCTGTGACGCCCGCGTCGAGGTCATCACTGGTGACTCGAATGCCTCTCCAGAGGTCTAGACGACGCCCCACGCGGTATACAGAGTCGTAACGAAGTGATGCGCAGAAGAGTCGATAATGTTGATGGTAGCACAGGACGGGTTTCCGATTCTGCCTCGGAGCCAGCCCCCGAGCCAGCGAACCCGCTTCTTGATGCCATGCGCAGGGCCGGAACGTCAGGGCCAGGCATGGATCTGCTAGCCCGCAGAGGATATTTATTCGCTGTTAAGCCACATGAATCGCTTGTCGGATTCCCCAATGAACGCACCGCTCATAAGCCGCAATCCAAGAAGAAGATAACGAGTGCAAAGAATCGGGTACATCATCGAGAATCTGAGGACGTTTAAAGCGGTTTACGACTGGCAAGACAAGACGAGTGGGCAAAATGGCAGAAGTTCAATGCCGTCGTGCCGATTGATTCCGTGGAACTACAAAATCTTTTCGGCGAAGGATATCGCATGGTACTTACATAGTGGATCTAGATTGACAAGAATGAACATCTCCGTAGACCGGGAGGACATCCGGGTGCACCGCAGTACAAGAGTAGATTTGCTGTGCGCGGAGATTTGGAAGAGTCGCTGGGCGCCCACGCGGATTTGCCAACGTGCGAACTAGAAGGGTTGAGGTTGATAGTATCATGGGCCGCCGGCGCAAGGAAGACTCTGAAGTGTGCCGACTTTACATCTGCGTACTTCCAGGGTCAGGAACTCGGCCGCCTCATGCTGCTCGAGCCACCGCCCGACGGACTCGAAGGAGTACCGGATGGTGGAGCACCGATGGCGCGCATGCCCTTCTATGGCACGCGCGACGCAGGACGAGGCTTATGGGGGAAAATTCGCAAAGGGTTTGAAGCGCATGGCCGACAGGAGAATCGTATGATGCCCGCTTTGTTCAGTATTCACAATGACAAGAATGAGATCACGTGTATGCTAGGTACGCATGTAGATGACAGACTATGGGCTGCAGACGATAAAAGTCAGAAACTCATCGATTCGGTATTGGCAGAGTTTGATACTCGCGAGATCAAGCCGGATAATTTCCGTTATTTGGGTTTAAGAGTTGTTTGAGATGAGGATTTCACGGCGAGTATCACAGCCGACGATTATATTGAGAAGATCGAAGTTGCGTCCCATCCTAGAGACAGCCCCCCCACGAGAAAATTGAATAAGGGTGAGACAGCACAGCTAAGATCGGTCGTGGGTGCCTTGTCATGGGTTAGACGTCAGTGCAAACCTGAGCTAACGTATCGCGCGAGCGGACTGCAGGCAGCAGCGCGCCACGCTAAGGTACTTCATCTCAAGGAAACCACCGTGCGTTAAAAGAAGCAGCTCAGTCCGCCGATTGCGGATTAGTATGCAAAGGTGGGGCTGTTACGTGGGATCAAGATATGATCGCCCCCACCGTTACTGACGCCAGCTGGGCAGGAGAAGAGGATATAGTCAAGGGTAGAGTCGAGCCTTTGAGATCACTGAGGGCTGGGTTCAATGGACTCGCAGGGCCTGGGTTCATCGAGGGGAGCAGTGGCCATGTTCACCCCATATGTATATCTTATAAAATTATCGAACGAGTGTAAATCAACACTACAAGCGGAGACTCCGGCTTGTTTATGAGGTAGAATCTGGCGCACGTGTTCGCGCCGCCATCGCAGATGCCCGCGGGATGCTCGGCGCCGGTAAGAAGCTGTTAACCAATTGGGAAGACGAATCAGCCATGTCTAGGAGACATGGAGAACGGATTGTAAGAGCCTCGAAGAACATATTATATTTCCAACTATGGGCACGACCGAAGATCAGTGCTTGAGGATTGATTTTGGTAGTTCAAGACAGGACGTTTGGACTAAGGGAATGGAAGTAGTAGAGATCTTACATACATGCATATTTTGTGATGGGACCCGATGGACCAATACAAGTATTCTAGCCGTTGGTTGTCTGACGAAGAATATGCCTACGGATTTCCTTGTTAAGATCTTACGTGCTAGTTCGTATGACGTAACCCCAGACCCTGAATCTACCTTAAAGAAGGTTAGGAAACAATCGGCGAGGGCCGTAGTGAATGCTATCCCATCGGGGAAGTGAGTGACTGAGTCCTGGCTGCCTTGACTGGAGTAGTCCCAACATGGGAGTGCTCCTTTGAACTGCCCCTTGACGCTCACTTAGACCAGCGGTGCTGCGCGGTCTCCCGGCTAGCTCGTGATAAAGTTTCACGGGTGTGAGATAGCGCATGCGCGACGCGTGCATGCGCACCGCTCGCCGCCACTCGCCGCCGTTTGACTTATGGGGGTCCCTTTTTGCCGTTGTGCTAAAACGCATCATAATCACACCTTGTGTTTTACGAGGGCGATGATGGTCGAGGACGGAATGACCTGGATGCGCCCAGGTGTCGTCAATTTAAACTTTGCGAACATTTCTGGGGTAATTGCAGCCTTCGCCACAATCGCCGAGATCGTTGAGGAT